ATTAATGGCCATAGCAGATGAGAGAGAATTGGACAGTAACACAGAACGTGTTTGAAAGACGAAAGGGAAGGAAGAGGAGTGATATTCACAAACAGAGTCTATCCAGGAAAAGCTGTTGAAAGACAGCAATATTTTTCTTTAAGACTAGTTTTTGAAAAATGTGGGATGATGTAATATTGTACTTTAATAATTAAAATCTAGAGGAAGCAGCATATCAAAGGTATCAGCATAGTGTCTGACACGTGGTCTGTGCCCAACAAATGTAAGTGTCCCCCCACACCTCTTCTCTCCATTCTAGGCCCACATCTCAGAGTGATTTCTTCTAAGAAGTCTGTGTGCAACATGCACGCACACTCAGACGTAACGAGGGGCTACAAGACTGTTGAAGTAGCATTGCATTAGTGCTTGCCTTTTTCAGTTCAAAGATGGATTTTATAGTGAAGTAACAAGTGAATTGCTTTTGACTCTGTACTTAGGGAAGTTAACTTTGTCAACTTTAAGTGTGAAGGGGTTGTCTCCCAAATGAGAGGAATCTGAAAGCTATAAAATATGATTTTAAAGTCATCTGCTTAGTTAGTTACACAGTACAGATACATTTTTAAATGTCATTTGAGAACTTTTAAGTACAGAATGTCAGAATTTTAGAAAATTAACAAATCATAATATAGTATATGCTTTTGCTGTTGTTAAGTGTCATCAAGTCAGTTCTGACCCATAACAATGCTGTATAGGGTTTCATAGGAGCAGCTGGTAGGTTTGTACTGCTGATCCTGTGACCTGCAGCCCAGTGTTTATCCTATAGAGCCATACCAGGAGTCCAATATAATATATACACCTGTGAAATAGTCACAAAGAAAGATGGTTGTACAGTGGAAAGTCATGTTCACATCACAATATCAAAACACATCTCTTACATTCAGTCCTTCCTCTGGGAAGACTTCCTGTAATTTATCTGCTGTCCACTTGCCTAATCCTGCTCAATTGCTACCTTGATTTTCTCTTTTCCATAGCACTTTTCACATAATGCTTAAATCATTCTTGTTCTTTGCTGTATCCCTTACTAGACTATAACATCCCAATGTGGGGTCATGTTCTGTTATTTTTGACATGCCCAGGCATAGAATGCAGTGGCACTCAATAAATGCTGGTTGAATGGATTCACTGTGAATTAACAATATTATAGACAGTGAGTGTTGTTAGAAATTCCTGAGAATTCTAACACTAAAAAAAAAAAAAAAAAAAATTGAATTTCATCCTAACCAATTTTATGATATTTGACAAAGTAATGGAATATATATATATATATTTTCATATCCTAAGAACACATTTTATTTGGATAAATTTATTTATCAAACTCCTAAGAATAAGTTTATTCTTAGGATTTTGATTTGATTTGATTTTGACAGAGAGAAACTCCGCAATGGTGGACTGATAAATCTGTGATAATTCCATGGGTTTTGTCTGTAGACACCATCCTATGCTGATCCAACATGCTTAAGTTTTATTGACATTCATGACTCACACATTCTTTTTGAACCCCAATACTAAAAATCCATTATTATTGATTCTGTTCACAGGTCAGTTCATGCTTTTGAAGAGAAGAAATCTCAAGTATAGAACAAATGTGACACGTCTTAGCATCATTCAAGCCTTATGAGCATGGGTCAACATGCATGTAACAGGACCATGTTCATATGAATGACAGGATTCTCATGATAAGAACATCGATGTATGCAGAAAGTTATGAGTTCAAGAGCCATGGGCATATGGTTTATGACCTGGGTTCAGTCTGGTTTTTAAAAGAATGGATCTAAAGAACAAGACAATACTTACACAGTTGGTTGCATTGTTTCTCTGATTTTTCTATATGCTAGTTAGGATGCAGATCCTACTGTCTGTATAATTAAAGAAACAAACAAACAAAGCTGCAGGCTTTGACCAGAGGGTGAGTGCTTGGGGGTGGGGGCTGGACTGAGGGCATAGGGCTATAGCATACGAAAAAAAAAAAGTAAATTTGGACATTTAATTTCCATATCTCTTTGCACGATGTAAATATCTCCTGGCATGGAGAAAAGGTTTTCTCTTCAGGCTGGAGACTGAGCAAATCACAGACAGAATTCATTTACATTTACAATAGCCCTAATTTTGTGCATCTGGGTATGATCAGCAGACTCATTTATTTTTTTTAAGTGAAACGAGTAAGAACCAATACATACTATGAAGTGGATTTAAAAAGTTTGTAGAAAAATCCCATTATCTATTAATTCCATTTCCCACAAACTTTTTGATATCCATTTGTACAGGGGTCAAATTTTCTACAAGGTGCAAAGTAGAGAAGGGGCCCTGGCAATTTAGGGAAGGTAAAGACACACAAATGAAGCCTTATTTTAAAAAAGGATTATACAATACACAGTTGGAACCATTTTTGTTAATTGTGACATCTAAGAAACTAAAGGGCTTCTGAATTATTTAAATAGGAAAGAAACCAAAGGGAGTACAGTCTGAGGAATGTGTCACAGGACAAAGTCACATCAGAAACAAGGGTTGTTGTTGTGTTAAGTGCTGTAGAGTTGGTTCTGAGAGGGGCTGGGAATTTGGGGAATTGATGTCATATGTGGAATTGTCTTTATGAACCTTTAATTTCATTTAAAAAACTGATATGTATTTCATGTTTAGGGGGCCCAGCAGAACCTTATTTCCCCTGACACCTCCTAAATCAATCTAATCTGTTGTGATTTTTATCTTCACGTATGAACACTGGGATTTGTACTCACTAGGGCCAAACTAAAAGTTTTTCTCTCCTTAGAAATTCATAAGCTAAAGACAATCATTTGAAAATGTGTCATGAACACATCACATATGAATTAATACTGACACACACAAAATACATATACATGTATATATATACATACACATGTATATATATATACATACACATGTATATATATATACACACATGTATATATATACATACACATGTATATATATACATACACATGTATATATATATACATGTGTATGTATATATATAAGCAAAAAGATGTAAACCAAATATATACACATGTATATGTATATATATATATATATATATATATAAAACCAAATAGATGTAAACACAGTGGTCATGAGGCCAATAAGCAGTCATGTGCTATACTGTACTGTGCAGGGACCCCAAGTCATATTAAAAGTTGTTAGTAGAGACTTTGTAGAGGACCATAGAAATTACAGAAGTAACAAAGAAACTTTCAGAGACCATCTAATACAAGAACAACTAGCTCATTTTATAGATGGAAAAAAAATGGGCAAATTAAATGTCATACCTAATGGAATCACACATAATGGCTGAGTTGAGAGTAAAATGAATTGTCTCTTGATTCCGAGCTAGTTCAAATTCCATCTAGAATTTTAATCAGGTTTTAGTGAAGCCTCGTTACTCTAAGTCATATTGACATCAGATCCTGTTTCCACACGGCTATAATAGCAAGTTGATATTTGAGACTCTCAAGGTGAGCAGTACAGTGCCAGGTGTATTTAAGCACGGTACTGTAGAATCCATAGTCAGCTCTGTTGAAGTGAAGATCCAAATATAAAAGCTTAGATGTTGAGACACCAAAGCACACTTGTATCTGCATAGAAACTGGTCTGAAGCCAATTTTGTTGAATATCTATGGTTTCACTCAATCAGTTCTCTATTTCTCATTTGGGGCATTATTTTACCCTCATGATATTGAAATGAAAATACTAGAAATGACTTCTGTTGTTAAGTGCCATCAAGTCGGTTACGACTCATAGCGACCCTGTATAGGGTTTCCAAGGAGCAGCTGGTGGGCTTGAACCACTGCCCTTGTGGTTCAAATTGACCTTTCAGTCCAGCACATTAACCCACAGTGGGACACCTCCAATAAAATGAGCTTTAGCAATAGGTAAAGATGAACATAAGTATTTCATTGTTTATAAATGTTATCTGGCAATCATAATAGTGAAACTTTTTACTTCGTGTAAAAGCTATTTCTTCTGGTAAAAAAAGGAAACTTTCATATGGACTCAGGACATATCTAAAAGTTTGCATTTTATATCAAGAGGCTGAAGGAAAGAAAGAAAGAAGAGGTATATGGGCATTTTATAAATAGAAAAATCCTTTTCGAATACCCAAGTCCCCCATCTTTTAAATAAATAAACAAGTGTTTTGTTTCTGTGCTTAAATATACCTAAAATAATCATTTATCACTTTTTGAAAAGACCGAAACCATCTAAGCAAGAACATCTATGTTTAAAGAATTGTTGTTTTCTTTACTATTTAACACACAGGCTATGTTAAAATATTTCCTTAGTGATGGAACCAAGCCAAGAATACGAGAGGGCTCCAAAAAGTCTGTGGGAAACTGCCATTGTCTTTTAATTCCATTTTCAACAATCTTTTTGATGCCCTCTTATATAGCTTAAAAGTTTTGTGAGTTGACACATATCCCAGAGGGCTGTAATATTTCTTAATAGTTAACAGCTTCTAAAACAACCTTTTTATCAATTCATGAGTCACAGGCAAGGGTATGGACATTTGTTTTAGAAAAACTAGTTTCAAATGGTTCAAAAAGCATTGCTTAGAAACGATAAGTAGAGTTTCCTTTCCAGTGCTGATTTTGCAGGGTCTTGTTTTGATCTTACAGTAAGTAGCACACCAGCTTTGCTAGGTTGATAATACAGCAGGAGCCCCTGGAATATATGACAAAGTGGAAACACTCCACCCCAAGACTATGACTAAGATGGAAATCTATGTTTTCTTTTGCTTTTTTATGAGAAGTGAAAATGTCTTATCTATGAGAGATGTGTACACATTTAGACATGGAAATGTTTCTAAATTAAATTCATGACAAATATTTGAGGTAAATATCACATCCTAGGCAAAGGAGGGTTCCTGGCTAATTCCTATTGTTTAGAGAGTGTCTGAGTGTATGCCTTATCAAACATAGAAGGCAGGAACGAATGAGAAGCAGAGGACTAACCTGTATTCCCCAAAAGTTCCATCGTCTTCCTTCATAGGCTGGATTTCAGGATCAGCATGGGCATCTTCCTTTTCTTTTACTAAGAATTTCAAAATGACATTATTATATTTGGACCCTGTGCTTCCTTATTCAAAGACTTAAAGAGTCAAGTCTTAGAGATAAACCAGCAAACCAAACCAAACCCACTGCCATCGAGTCGAGTCTGACTCAAAGCGACCCTATCTAGGGTTTCCAAGATTGTAAATCTTTACAGGAGCAGACAACCTCATCTTTCTCCAGTGGAGTAGCTGGTGGGTTTGAACTGCTGACCTGTGGTAAGCAGTCCAACACCAAACTCACAGCACCACCAGGGCTAATTGGAAATACAGAGCAGGGGAAAATAATTCTATACACAGTTGATGTTATATAATCATACATGCTATATAATCATACCCACATTCTGATGTTTTGGGGTCATTTGATCATTTGTTAATACATAGTGTTGACTTTTTAAAAAGCATTTTGGACCAAGTCGCCTACTCACCTGATGAAGGTATACTTTTTACGTTTCTAAGATTTCTCCCTGCCTCATTTTACCCATCTATTTGTTAACTAAATTGATGGTTACAGATAGGCTTTGTAAATCTATCCTTCTGCAGATTTTTTATTGTATCAGAAGGAAAATGACCAGATTAAAAAGATAAGAATTCACTGGGCCCACTAAACAGCACAAATCACTAAGCTGAAGTAAAAACCATGTCACGCAATATCAAGCCACAGGGCATGTTTTACTTCCTTGGGGCAAACTTCAGGCACCTCCCTCCGCCCCTAGTTGATCTCAAGTGCTACTTATGCACCCATGATTTATTGGAGCCTAAAGAAACTACCAGCTGTTCTGTGGGAGAAAGATGAGGCTTTCTGCTCCTGTAAAGATTTACATCCTTGGAAACCCAGTAGAGGGTCGCTATGAGTCGGAACCACTCCATGGCACATAACAACAACAACAAAGCAACAGAGGGGTCCTGGTGTGGTGCTGTGGGCTAATGCGTCAGACTGCAAAGTCGTTTGAACTGCAAGGTCGGTGGTTCAAACTCACCAGCTGCTTCTTGGAAACCCTATACAGAGTCATTATGGGTTGCAATTGACTAGATAGCACTTAACAATAACAACGCAACAGCGTTACTAACATTTTCAAATAACAGATTGATTTATTGCATCCAATGCCCTCTGATCTTTGACAATGTTTAGGTTGTTTGTAAAAGGGGATCAAAACTTGGCTACACAAGTCCAATTTCATGATTCTGGGAAGATATACTTACAGCAATCTACATGATTACACTCCTGATTTCTTTTCAGCTTAATGAATAATTTTGCAGCATTATAAAGCAATTAAAATCTTTCTTTCTTACCTGGATATTTACCACCCTTGTTTCTTCTGATGAAGCAAACAATCAGCAAAATTAAGATAAGGAGAGCGACAGCACACATTAGCCCAATGAACCAGCCCTGAGTTGCAATATCCACCTGCCGGCTTGCCATTGCTGGAAAACAAATTTACAGTGTTGGTGGGAATGGGGCAAGGAGGAGACGGGAACTGTTATCGTCCTTGTAATAAAATATTGCCTCAGCATATGAGTTTGTATAAATTTTATACTTAGCCCCATATTGGAATCTGTCAGCTATCAATCAGGAGTTATATAAATACTTTGAAATTTTTTCATTATTTAAAAAAAAAATTCAAGTTTTTAAAACAGAGAAATCTGAATGCTAATGTCATGAAGTGTTAACAAGTCTTGCTGACAATTGTGTTCACAGTTATGATGTTTTACTGAAGTATGTATGTATTCTCAGTATAATCTATGAACTATCTATGCATTCTCAGTATAAACACATTCCCAAGCCAATTAAACATTGCTTATTGGATAAGCTGTATATTGTTAAATACAATTATAATAATATAACACTGAATTTTAAACAGGATAGGATATATACATATAATGGAGCATTCTTCCTTCAAAGGAATCACTTATGGAGGTTAAAATAACATTGCAGTAATACACCATTAAAGATGAATGTTTTGAAAATCCTCTTTTCAAAAAACAAAACTGTCCACACAAGAGAGCCAGCTTTATTGTTGTATAAAACATCCCAATTTATACCCAAAGTATTACTTAATTTGCATTTCATCTCATTTGTTATTCATCCCTTCGTTCTTAAGGGCATTTGAAATTTTCTGTAAAAATCAAATTCACACTCCAAGGACCAATATTTGTTAATGCTTAGAATCCACTAAAAAGATTTTGAAATATATCTTGATCAGTGGAAGCAAGTCTGGGTAGGTGATCAGTTTGAAGGGAAAATACTCATTCAGATGTATGTTTTCGTTGTCTTCACTTATTTTAAGCAAATAAATACCACAGTATGCAAATTTCATAAGAACACCACAGAATAATCAGCATTTCTGATATCATTCAGAAGTGTCACTCAAAGCAAAATGGGACAAAGTGCAGCATCAATGATTATTCAGATATGCCCATGTGGGTTTGTTTAAACAAACTGGTATGAATCCTGTTTTAAAAGGCCTTTGTTGTTTCTCTTCTGACCACAATTTACTCAAGGAAAAAGATCTTCTTTTGATTTCATAGCATGTCCATATCATGCTTTTAAATTAATCGAATTTCTTCCGAATACATTTAACATGGTTGTGTAAAGCTTATGCAATCTCTCGATGAACAAAATAAAAATGGCAGCACGTATCCTGGGTTCTGCTCTATATTGCAAGAATAACCCCCTTTTTCTCTACAGCAAAATGCAGGTAAAAAGGAAGCACTTGAAATGACGTGGGGAAAGGAACATGAGAAATGTGAGGATGTGTGTTTTTAAAAGAAATTAAAAGACAAGTGGAATTATATTACCTGGAATACAAATCAAATACCAGCAGTCTTTCTCCCTTAGTCCCTTGTATGTACATGTTGTGTGCCTTGTTTGTGGGGATTTAAGTTGCATCATAACCAGGCGTAACTGAAGTAGGAAGGTAGGTAGTTTCCCCATCCCCTTTACATACCATACTAAGTCTGATGATGATGAAGATGAAGACAAAGATAATATTAACTGCTAACATTTTTGAACTCTTATTACATGCTAGGCACTGGGTTGTGGGCATAATCTCATTTAATCTTCACAACAATCCTTGAGGTAGGCATTAGGAATAAATTCAGAGAGCATAAATTCAGAGAGGGAAAAGAACTTACAAAAGAGTTGGAATTTGACCTATGTCTGTTTGCTCCCAGAGAGCATGTTACTAGCCATTATGCCCCACTGCTATGCTCTAATGCATTCCTGAAAACATGTCTAGACATTAAATCTGCAAAAGTCTGACCAAAGAATAAAATGTTTAGGGGCTTTCCAGTCTGAGAAAGGTAAATATATTTTTTAAATGCATCATTACATTCTCTTTGGCAATATAATTCTGTCAGTTTATACATGATCTTTGTGTGCTTTTTCTTCAAAGTTGAAACAAAACTGGTCTAAGTCTACTGAGCATTTAAATGAAAGGGTCCCAGCTTTTAGCATGCTTAACAACATACAGCTTTGTCATCACTAGTATCTAATACGGTCAGATACACGAGAACTAGCAGAGCCATCATTCTGCAGAGGGGGACTGCCAGAATTAGACTGCTAGATGGCAGCTTGCAATGATGCAACTGAGAATTTTTGTTTAATACCACACTAAAATTGTTGTTGTTGTTAAGTGCCATCGAGTTGGTTCCGACTCTAGTGACCTTGTATAGGGTTTCCAAGGCTGTAAATCTTTGTGTGATCAGAAAGCCTCATCTTTTTCCTACATTTTGAGATTGTTGTTGTTAAGTGTCGTCAAGTCGGTTCCAACTCATAGCAATCCTGTGTTGGAGGAGTAGCTGGTGAGCTTGAACCTCCAACTTGGTGGTTCAAACCAACTTTGCAGTCCAGGGTATTAACCCACAGCGCCACACCAGGACTCTGCACATTAAGATTATTGTTGGTGTTGTTAATTGCCTTCGAGTCAGTTCCAACTCATAGCGACCCTGTAGTGGGCTTCCAAGGAGTGGCTGGTGAGCTTGAACTGCTGATTTTGTGCTTCAAACCGACCTTGCAGTCCAGTGCATTAACCCACAGTGCCGCATCAGGACTCCTGATTTAGGCAGTCCTAAAAATTAGACATCTATGTGCATCAAAGACTTCCCCAAAACAGTTCAAAGAAAACCTACAGACTGGAGAAAAAATTTTGGCAGTGACATATCTGACAAGGGACTAATCTCTAAATTTATAGAAAACTTCAACACCTCAACAACAAAAAGAAAAAATCCAATTTAAAAATGGACAGAGAGCATAAACAGACATTTCACCACAGAAGACATTTAGGCTGCCAACAAAAATGAACAAACATCTGTGATCATTAGCCACTGGATAGATACAAATCAAAACCACAATGAGATATCATCTCACTCTAGCATTAATTGCAAAGTTAAAAAAAAAAAAATCAACAAAAACTGCCAATGCCAGTGAAGGCATGGAGTGACTAGAACCCTCAGTCACCGCTGGTTGCTGTTGCTATTGTTGTTAAGTGCCGTTGAGTCGGTTCCGACCCATAGCGACCCTGTACAGGGTTTCCGAGGGTGTAAATCTTAGGATTGTAAAATGGTGGAACCACTGTGGAAAAAGGATGGCACTTCCTGAGAAAGTTGGAAATAGAAATACCATAGGATCCAGCAATGCGAAAACTGGGTATATACCCTAGAGAAATAACAGCCGTTACGGGAACAGAGACTTTGTGTCTCATTCTTCAGGTATATTAACAGGAGAGACCAGGCCCTGGAGAAGGGTATCAAACTTGGTAAAGTGGAGGGTCAGTGAAAAAGCGGAAGACCCTAAATGAGATGGATTGGCACAGCAATAATGAGTTCAAACACAATGATTTTGAGAATGGCCCAGGCCCAGGCAGCGTTTTGTTCTCTTGTGGGTAGGGTTGCTATGAGTTGGAACTGACTCAATGGCACTTGACAACCAATAACTGCACATTCATGCAGTGTTATTCACAATAGAAAAAAGATGGAAACGACCTAAGTGCCCATCAATGGATGAACGAATAAGCAAACTATGGTACATACACACAATGGGATATTATATATTAGGTAACGAATAACAATAAAACTGCAAATACCTCACGGCATAGATGAGCCTACAGGACATTACGCTGGGTGAAATTTGTCAGTCACAGAAGGACAAATATTGTATGAGATCACTACTATAAAAAGTCAAGAAAATGCTTACTCAGGGGGAAATAAAACTCACTGCCATCGAGTCGACTCCGACTCATAGTGGCCCTAAAGCATAAGCAGATCAGCTCCTTGGGGATACTGAGGCTGTAAATCTTTATGGGAGCAGACAGCTTCCATCTTTCTCCTGAGGAGTGGCTGGTGGGTGTGAACCACCAATCTTGTGGTTAGCGGTCCAATGCTTATCCCACAGTGCCACCAGCCTCCTTTTTATCCAGGGGGAAGAGAGTGAAGCACAATAAAATGATATGTATATATTGTATGCCTAAATACAATAAGGGGAGGTTAGCACAAAATGATCAAGGCTAAAAAAGACACTGGGAAGAGCACAAGAGTTAAAGGCAACATAATCCTCCAATAACAGTCATAGCCGTGGTCCATGAGATAGACAAGGAAGCTGAACAGGAGACAGTCGGTGAGTGGATCTATACTCATTAACATATATACAGTTTGACAGAGGATATTTCTCCACATGTCTTTTTGTGTGCTGTAAATAGATCCATGAATATAGTATAACATGTTGCTGTTGTTGTTATTAAATACCGTCAAGTCAGTGTTGACTTATTGTAACTCTGTACATGGTTTCTGAGGCTTTGAGTTTTCACAGGAGCAGAAAGCCTTGTCTTTCTCCTGGGGAGCAGTTGGTGGGCTTGAACCGCAGACCTTGTGGTTCACAGTCTGTTTATCATATGAAGCAACCATGCTACCATAGTAGAATATATTATGAAAAATATAAGTTATGAAAACTTCTTAGTCATAGCTAAACACCTTGAGGGAACGACTCACTGGGGTCACCAGGTCAGCTGGCATAACGTAGTCTGCAAAGATAATGTTTTACATCCAACTTTGGTGATTAGCAACTAGGGTCTTAAAAGTTTGTGAGCAGCCATCTAAGGTGCAATTGTTGATCTCTCCCCATCCAGAGCAAAGAAGAGTGAAGAAAATCAAAGACACATGGAACCAATTAAGCCGAAGAACTAATGGACCATGTGAACCCCAGACTCCATGACCCCAAGACCAGAAGAACTAGATGGTGCCCAGCTACCACTGCTGACTACTCTGAAAGGGATCACTATAGAACATTCTGGATGGGGGGAGAAAAATGTGGAACAAAACTCAAAACCATAAAATCGATGAGACTTACTGATCTTACAGAGCCTTTAAGCTTGGAATTGAACTTACCCCCACTCAACTTTCAACGCAACAATAGACAGGCCTGTAGGGTG